TATTGTTTATTTAAAAACTTTCTAGTTTCTGATGTCTACTATTTCCAGCGTTACTGTTATTATCACAAAAATAAAGGTAATTTTTCTTCTTATTGTACACCTATCCATTTATTTCTTTGATTTAATTTCCACTTTGTTAGTGAAATTTGTTATATAAGTTTCACTGTTTTTTTTTTGCTAGTATTTGTACAATTTTCAACACAGCAACTCCGGTTGCTTATTGTGTTGTTTTTACCTACTTTTTTGAAAAAAGTAAAATGTATACGTGTATTTGATATGCCAAAATTACAAAATATCCCCCTAAAATGCACGAATTATCCGCAGCTAGCGCTAGTATCGCTTTTGATTCCCTTTCCATGACTTCGCACGGAGCGAATAAGGATGTAATTTTTTTTTGGAAAAACATCAAAAATGAAAAAATATGACTGTATTACTGTTTATATTAATTTTAAATACATTTTATTTATCATTTAACCTTAACAGGAAATTTCGTTATTTATTAAATACTATTTTGATAACGGTTCAAAAAAAGTATACCTACCTATTTCCCACTTGATGAATAAAATTTCTTCTAACTTAGAACCATATTTTTGGTTTAACTTTAGTGTTTTAAATATGAACCTATTAATGTTATTAAAATTCAATGCATCTTTTATGTACTTTAGCAAGGGTAGGTATTCATATTGATTTCATAATATGGGTAGCCGTGCTGGTCAACTATGAATGCTGAGAGGTAACTGTTTTTTCTTTAGTTCTCCTCCTTGTCAAATAAATTATTTCCAATTTTTTTTAAGTCATTTAAATAATTTTTTTCTACGACCACTTAGGAAAATGACACATATCACACTATATGTATAGTCCTATGGAAAGTGCCCTATATCACATGCGTATGAATAAGAATTTACTTTCTACCCGTGTGCGAATATGCTACTTTCCGCATCAGCTGTCACAAAAGTCTAACGCATTATTTCTATTTTGATCTATGTAATGTCCATATTAATACTAAAATCGATATGATTGTTAAATTATTGAAATTGTTATGTTTGCTTTTTCATATACATAACCAATTAGATCATTCAATTAACGCTCAGGTGGTGGAGTATCAAACTTTATCAACTTTGCCATTTGAGACCTGGCGAGCGACCGCGTTCAAATCCTTGCGGAGGCAGATTTTTTTTTTGTTTTTTCATTTTTTTTTTGTTTTTTAGTTTTTTTGTTTAGAAAATATACAAATTGAATAAATTCGATTATTGTTGATTATTTTTTTAAATACATTTTAATTATTATAATAATAACCTGGTTATACATTTTTTGATGCTATTATTTTGTGGTCGTAGGAAAAATATTGTACATCACTTGTGCGAAAAGTGATTTTCCACACTCGTAATGTAATATACTATATTCATTCAGTTTTTAATTCAGTAGTTACTTATTCATTGTACGGTAAAGTACGATAGTGAAAATAATAGTTTTAATATGAAATAAATGTGGATCTTACGCGAATAATATAATAGGATGGAGAGTAGCGATACTTTTTTGAATTTGGTAGATATTATGATTTAAATAATATTTGAATATGGGAAGGCTTAAGAGGTACAATATCTTAAATATACTTTTTTACTCCTATGCTATAAGTTGTTGACTAAATGCTAATTTTCAGTTTCACAATGATACTCATTATAACACTGGTTTTCATTATGAAACTGAAAAATTGACCAATGGAAATCTAGATTTTTAAATAATCAATATTTTCTGTAGAATGTCTGACAGTTTCTAATACGAGACTCGTATTTTATGACAATTTCAATCTTTTGCGTTAGTCAAAAAGGTAGATAGGTACCTCTTACTTATTTTTAAAAAATGTCGAGGGACGAAGAGTTTTCGTGCACACCTCCTGAAATCTCTGAAAAGGCGAAAAATGTATCATCATAGTTATTATATTTTTCTTTCATATTTTATTTCTTATTGTTTGTATAAAAAAGTATTAAAAAATTAAAAAATAAAACAACGTTGTTGAATTGAAAGTTTCTTGGTGGTAGAAAAAATAGTGTATGCAACTCTCATGTAATGGCTATTAATACATGATCGTTGCATAATATACTATATTATATTGGCGAGCTTAAGGGGTAAAGGGGCAAATATTTTTGTATGGGCAGGCGTAAAGGAGAGAAATATTTTTACTTGGATAAACTTGGGAGTGTAATGGCCCCAACCTATTCTTATATGGGTAAACTTAAGTGGTAAAGGAACTAAATATTTGATATGGTAGACTTATGGGATAAAGGAATCAAATGCTTTTATAAAGACAGGCTTAAGGTATAATTAGACAAATATTTTTTTATGTGCATGGATGAATGGATCATATATGGAAAGGTTTAAAACGTTGACTGCGAAGCCGAATTAGAATAACAATTCGAATGTGCAACACATGCCGTATTTAGCATGTCATGATTTTTTGTAAATGTGCCGCACGCGATATGGAATGGTTTTAAAAATCGAGCCTTATGACAATCATCACGTGGTTTAACCTAAGTAATGGCAATGCTTTATAAACTTGAAAAATCAACATCTTTATAGCACTATCGGCCTTTGGTCTTTCGTTCCAAATCAAATCGTTTCTCGTTTTTTTAAGCTACGAGTTTACCCTTGTGGGCCGCAGTCTCGATAAGATGGTAACCACCAATTTAGCATCTTTCGAATTGTTTATGCTGCTTAACACATACGTATATGTCTAGTGTTGAGGTTCTGTTGCATACTATACCAATGTTTGTAGACTAACATCTTTAAATTTGTAAACTTGTAATTTTTTTTGTCTCGTATCAATATAATTTATTTGTATTGTATGCCTGAAGATGGCCTTAGTAGACGAAACTAGTCGCTTAACTGTTAAAATTTTCATTAAAATATTAAGTGATGCCGATTTTCGTTTAAATATTTGCATTAAATTAAAAATTTTAACACCTCTACCAAATTTTCAAAGCTGGTATCATATTTTACATAAATGCTTATGAAACCACCCACATTATTTTATAATAATAAAAAGTATAAATCATTTAAAACCTTCATTAATGAGTTATTGTTATTAACTCGAGATATTCTCTATATAGAAAAATTTAAATCGCTCATTATTTTTTATGGAATATCGAATTAAATCGATATTTTAAATAATTTATTATTTTATAGCCATAATTTAAATAAAATCTTTTATTGCCGCGATGATTGATATTTTTATTGTAAATATGCTATTGAATTTTTAATTATAATAATATATAAAATATAATATTGAATTATTATTTTATCGATCCATCCATTACAATCTTAAAATAGTGAATTAACGAAACAATAAATTTATTTTTAATAAATTTGTAATAATGCATTGTCAAAAAAATTAATAGTATAATAAAAATTTAAAAATTGTATTGCCGTTTTACAATAAGTAATAAATTTAATTTAAATACTTTGGTATTTTAAATGCCATGGATTTGCAATTATTATCATATTTCTTCAATTTATAAATGAAATACGTTTTTCCAAAATATTCTGAATTCTTATAAAATATATATATTTCTGTAAATTCTATCGGACTGCCAAAAAAACCATTTTCCAATTAAAATTTTAAAAGTTGAAGAACTTTTTTATATTAATGTGCTATTAGAAAAATGATTTATATAAAATATATTAACATACTCCAAAACTACAACTATTATAATACTATTTTGTTATTTTTCTTAAAGAATAATATGATTTGTACTTTTAAAATTACTATACTAGTAGTTGTATTATGCATCTAGGGCTCTTGCGTTTTATGAACTCCTGATCTTTGAAACTTTCGTGATCGACCACGCCTCCATATCATTTAATTCACTGCTCCAGTTAACCTAATCTTGTTACAGACGTAATTGGACAAAGAACTGTCAGCTGGTTGAGAATAGAAAAAAACATACGGCAGAGAATGCGAGAAATTAAACTGGATAAAGAGGAAATAAAGTAGTTATTTTTTTGTTTAATTTATTGCGCAGGCAAGTACGTTTTTTTTAAATAAAGAAAAGACAGACTATTTTTTCTACACTGAGAATTATTGTGTTTGATATGGTGGTACCTATGTCCAATAAGGAAAATAATATCCTTAACCACAAGTATTTAACATTTATTCAAGGGAAACTAGTTTCGTTCAATAAGAAATTTAAATGAAATATAAAACGAACTATAAATTAGGGTCAAATAAGGTTGAAAGTTATAGATCAATAAAAATTAACAAAAAATAAGTTTATTCGGTCATATCGTTTTTAATATAAATACCTAAACTAAGGAAATTTTTGTAAGGTTTTTTTTATTTTTTTGTACTCGTTGTTAGTTGTGAATTTTTTAAGCAAAATATGTCAGTTGGTAACACTTAGTTACTAACCAATAGAAAAAAAAAATACGGCAGATAATTCGAGAAATTAAACTGGATAAAGAGGAAAAAAGGTAGTTTTAATTTTGTTTAAATTTTTGCGCAGGTACGTATTTTTTAAATAAACAATAGACAGATAATTTTTTCTACACTGAGAAAAGAATTTGTTAGTATTAAAGAAAATATATTTAACTGTGTCTGATATGGTGGTTCAAATGAGATTGAAAGTAATAAATCAATATAAATTAGCAAAACTTGATATAAAATAATACATTTTAAATAAAAATTTCCTTAACAGGTTCAGCGTCAGACCAATTTCAGTAAAACTTCCCTGTGGGCCAACATGGTTTTTTGTCATTTTTTTGTTCTTTAGGGGATTTGAAACACTACTCACCGATTTTCAAAATTTTTGGTAAACTAGTTTTTTTTATAAAGACAGCAGACACCGGTGTCTGCTCTGGCCCTACCAAAATTACGAGTGCCACCAGTGTCTGTCTTGGCCTGGTCATACAGTAAATATCAGCAGACACTAGGTGGTACGCATCAAGGTCAATTGTGTTTACTACTAGTTTAGTTTAGTCTTGCAGTGGATGCGAAAAATAAAACAATGAATAATTGGGAAAAATGTTTGTTGCAATTGGCGTTAGAAAAAGATCAATCTGATACAGATGGTAAGTTTCCGTTATTTTAATTTTTATTTGAAAATAAAATAGGTAATTTGCAGACGATGATGAATATAAAGAAGATCCTTTTTATTGCTCTTCAAACGACGATCCAGTGTATATTCCTCAAGATAGTTCTGACGATTTTGAGACTTATACAGAGTCAGATAACGATTACGTCGCTGTAAGTAAGAAGCCGAAGCTCGAAGTTTTAAAAAACATATTACTATGTGAACCTGGCCCATCTGGCGCTTTTGTAGCTGACAAAATTAACCTTATAAGCAACAACAATATGAAAAAAAAACAGTGTTGAAGAAGTAGAAGGCGATTTATTGATGGCAGTACCAAATAACAACAACCTGACAGAACCAGTTATAGAAAAAGAAACGGGTTCAAACCGTAATGATCCTGTTACCTTGGACCTTGACGTAGCACAGGAAGATCCGAGACACGTTGACCTATATGATATTACTTCTTCTACTTGGGGCCCGCCACAGGGAAATCAACTGATATTTGAAGAAACATTTCATGGAGAAATTTCACCGGAATATTTTTCTACATTGAAAGGAGAAAAACCCATTCAATACTTTTTAGCTTTTCTGGATTTCGAAGTAATTGACATGTTGGTGAACCAAACGAATCACTATGCAACTCAAGTCTTAACAGAAGACGGTCATATTTCTAACCAGGCCCATGTCCAAGGCTATCAACCGACGGATAGGAAAGAAATAATACATTTTATTGGTTTATTAGGTTATATGGGTATCGTTCGAATGAATTCTCTACGAGATTATTGGTCGAGAAAGTGGATATTTTCCAATAAGGTCGTAAAAAAAGTCATGAGTCGAAATCGTTTTGAGATTCTCTTGAAAATGTGGCACTTTTCGGATAATTCGCTTTGTCCGGAAGGAGACCGTTTATACAAAGTTCAACCACTTTTTGACAAACTTGTTCGAAATTATAAAAAAATCTATACTTCGGGACAGACTTTTTGTATTGACGAGTCTATAATACCATTTCAGGGAAGGCTACTTTTTAAGCAATATAACCCACAAAAGGCCAATAAATATGGAATTAAGGTATTCAAGTTATGTTGTACACACTTGGAACATGTCCCTTTATGCAGGCAAAGAGAAAGAACAAGCAAATGGAACCCACTTGTCTGTCGCGACTAATGTTGTACTAAAATTATCCCAAGAACTGTTAGGAAGCAGAAGAGTCTGCGTAATAGATAATTGGTATACCAGCCTTCAATTAGCCCACATACTTTTAGACCAACAAACACATTGCTTAAGCACATTACGAGGTAATCGGAGTGGAAATCACAGTGAAATTATAAAGAAAAAGCTAAGAAAAGATGAATTAGTAGTTCAGGAAAACGAGAGGGGAATATGTATCCTCAAATGGCGAGATAAAAGGGATGTGCTGGTTCTTTCTACTTTGCATACTGACGAGACAGTTCGGATGCAAAGACATGGTAAAGAAATTAACAAGCCAAGGGCAATTATAGATTATAGCAAAGGTAAAAGCTCAGTCGACCTTTCCGACCAAATGTCCAGTTATAGCACAGCATTACGAAGGACAATCCGCTGGTATAAAAAAGCAGCAATTGAAGCAATTTTGGGGACTAGCGTTGTCAACGCACACTTCGTTTTCCAGGAAGTTGAAGAGAGTGCAATGTCCATAACAGATTTCCGTTTATCAGTTATTGAAAATATGTTAACATTTGAATCACCAATAACAGATGAACCAACGCAGCTAAAAAGTCTTCGTTCGCATGTTTTTACTAAATTGGATTGCAAAGCCCGTGAAAACAGAAACATGTGATATGTGTTTTATTTTGTTTTGTTTTATTTTATTTTAGATGTATGTATTAATGTTAATTTATAATAATGTTTGTTTATATTTTAATGAAAATTCCACACCTGTAATTTTGAACCAATCAAAATACGTGTTTTTGACAGATCACCATGGCAACGGAGGTATTTTAGTGGAAATTTTTTTCTCGTGTGGTACCCAACAGCGAATTATACTGGAAATTTTTTGACGTTTACAATAACAGACCATTTTTGACAGACTGGTTTTTATTTGTTCACATAATAGGTTTAGTTTTGATACATTTTAGTTACAATGCTAAGGTGTTTTCTATATTCTTCGGCCACTTCTTTTCTTCTTAATGGCGAAAATGCAGGACTTTGGATGCTTTGAATTATGTGTCTGTGTCTAATAAAATATATATAATATTTAGACACTAATTTATTCACCTTTTTCCCATTCAGCACTTTGAATTTTGCGTAGTTTAGGTGCAAATATTCGTGGACAATTCGGAACAAATTTTCGTTTTTCAAGTTGGAGCCACAATCCTCTATTAATCCGAGTAAGTAAGTCATGGTGCAATGATTGATCATTACATCAGACAATTTCACGCATATTTTGCATAGCGTATGATTTTCAAATAGATTCATTTTTAAACAAATAGGTAATTTTGTTGGTTTTACTTGCTGTGCAATATTCTTTATCGCAACAAAACGCGAGTAATTTAATGTCTTGAACTGTCAAAATACAATGATCACAGCCTCCTACGATTGATGCTTGCTAACGCTGGTTATGAATTTCATACCATTTTAAAGCGCTCATAACGCATGTTAATAAAAACGCAGAAAAACAATTTTCTACCACTTGTAGTTATTCAAAACTTACGTAAAATTAAAGAATATACTATTTTCTATTTTCAAATGGTATTCCCATGCAACTACAATGAGTAGAAATAAGCAATTTGAAGGCTTAAATAATTGCAGCGAAACATTTTTTTACGTCGGGCCGCTTGACAACTTCAAAACTGAAATTATATTCGAGGTTAGGGTCTCACTTAGTTACCATGACAACTGAACAATCAAGGCGACAACACCTTTTATGTTTCACTGGTGACTTGGAGAAAATAATTTGCATTGTTGAGAAACGAAAAATAAATTTTAAAAATATTTAATTTTCAACCATAATTCGGCGTGGAATTTTCTTACCGAATACCACGCGAGGTCAAATTAATATCAGGAAATTTTTTGACCTCTAGTGGTATTACTAGTGACTATTAAGTTAATTGTAATTTGTATACTATTAGTACAATATTGTGTTTGTATGACTATTTATTTATTTGTAATTTGTATACTATTAGTACAATATTGTGTTTGTATGACTATTTATTTATTTGTAATTTGTACAATATTGTGTTTGTCAATAAGTATTTTAACTTGGACAATAAACATATATTCTCTCTCTATTGTAGAGGATGTTATCAAAAAAAAGATCGACGGTTTATTGGAAAAAAGTAAAGCAAAAAGGGTTATAACATACTGTCAGAATTGTAATGTGCAGCCAAGGTTTTGCTTAGATTGTTTTAACGCGTTCCATAAAAAAAATGTGGTACCTACTTTAATATTTCTTTTATCTCGAAACATTTTTCTTTTAGAATTTCTTTGTCTTAGTTAATCATTAACATTTTTTGATGTTATTACTATTATTATTATCATTTCAAAATAAAAACTTAAACGAAATACGTTGTTTTATTGTTTTGTAAAAAAGTTACTATTTTAAACATGTAAAAACCGCTACTTTAAGTCTGGCATCGTTTTGGTATAGTCCAGGGCCAGGGCAGACACATCACTCTATCAAACCTCGTATTACCGTGTCCTCTAGGCCAGGAGGAACCGATAAAGTTTTTAAACTGAGGCAGACACTGGTGTCTGCTTTGGCCCATACGAAAATTAACCCAGCAGACACCGGTGTATGCCATGGCGCTGAACCTGTTAATTTATTCGGTCATATTGTTTTTAATATAAATAAATATAAATAAACTAGGGACATTTTTATTTATATAAAATTTAAATAAAAATCCCTGGCACCGGTGAGATTCAATCCTGAGATCTTCCAATCTCAAAGTCATGACTCTAACTACTGAGCCAACTTACCTCCCTTTATTTCTTATTAAACGTGGTTATGTAGTAAGCTGTGCAGTGTGACCTTTCTGACCCAAAAGTTGTCCATTGTCTTAAATTATTCCAAATCAGTTGCCTTTTTTTGTATTTCAATTCGTTCACTATTTTTGAATTTAACTCTTTAATTTTATTTGTATTAACGATTTAATTTTTTGTTTCAGATATTACAGTTTGAAATTGTACAATATCAGGTGAGTCATTTTCTTTTACATATGCGAGCGATTAGCGACCAGCCCATGCTCTAATCCCTTAAGTCTCTCTCTACCATATTTCGGCCTTTTATGGCATCCATTTTTTGTTATTGAAAATATTCTGCTATTAGTAAAACCCAAAAAACTACGCAAACTATCTAATGGAGATATTTGCAAGAAAATAAATTTATTAGTGCCAGCATTTTGATTAGTGGTACCAACATAGTTGATTTTGTTGAATTAAAGACAATTTTTGGATAATGCTTCTAGGTTAAGGGCGGGCGTGGGCAATGTATTTAACATAGGCATACACAACGCTCTTTCAATGCCTTTTTAGCTGAAACTACAACAAAGAGGAAAGTGAAAAAATTCCTGCCGATAATAGATATATATACTACTGTTCAATAAAGGTTTTTGGTGTCTCTAACTATCAGGGATCGTTTAAAAATAATTCCAAAAATATGGTAATTTTCACGATGAAATAAAGCTAAAAATATACCAGTAATAATTACCCGATGATGAAAATAATTCTTCTTTGAATAGGCTATATACTAAAGCAACAAATGTCACTTAAAATATTTAAATTAATTGCGTCAATTTCCTTAAAAGCTCATTGAAGTAAATTTTGGAAGAAATTATAAATCGTTATTTATGTGTAAAAATTGCCTAGAATATAAAAGAAAACTTTCTAAAACTGCATACGAGTAGCCACAGGTTAATTCGGAGCTTCTCTAATAGATGGCGCTAAAGTCGTCTCGAAATAAATTCAAATACGCAGGTCCTTATTTAGGAGTTTACTAATTAATATGCATATCATTTCAATTATTAAACATATTCAATATTTGCGTAAGAGCATGAAGGATATGTAAGTAATGAGAGAAAGCCTCAACTGTATACTTTGAGATATTGATTTTACGTTTTGTGGTCCGGAAAATGTCTACGGAGGTGGTAAAAATTTAGAAAAACGACTAAGCGGCCTCTTAGCAAAAATCGATTGCTTG